CCCCCCCCCCCCCCCATCTCTCGCGGGGCACGCCGGGAGCTGTAGTTCCTGGGCCAGCAGGAGCAGCACCGTGCAGAGCCCGTTCCTGGCCACCACCCTGCCCCTCGTGGGGATGTCTCTGCTCCCCTGCCCCGCCAAGGGGGAACCCCGGCAGGGAGAAAGCTGGCTCTGCCTACCTGTGTCCGTCTCATCGCTGGAGCCGCTCACCCACTTCTCCCTCCCCCCGCCTCTGTCTGGATTTCATGGAATCACAGAATGGCTTGGGTTGGAAGGGACCGTAAAGATCATCGAGTTCCAACCCCCGGCCACGGGCAGGGACACCTTCAACAGGTTGCTTAAAGCCCTTTTCAGCCTGGCCTTGAACTCTTCCAGGAATGGAGCATCCACAGCTTCTCTGGGCAACCTGTTTCAGGGCCTCATCGCCCTCACAGTAAAAGACTATCTAATCTAAACCTACACTCTTTTAGTTTGAATCCATTCCTCCTTCTCCTGTCACTACATGCTCTTGTAAAAAGTCCCTGTCCATCTTTCTTGTAGGTTCCCTTCAGGTACGGGAATGCCAGTCATTAGATCACCCATCTAAAAGGATTTAAAGGGGTAGGCTATTTAGCTACAGATTTCTTTTTATTTTTAATAAGAAATTATATGTAAAAGCCCAACAAATTAATATAAATTTGATGTTACACTGTTAGTCACTGAAAGGAGGAAAAGTAAGCATGAAGTCAAAAGGGCAAGTCTAATGCTACTCTTTTCAGTGTATATATTGTAATGTGGTCAAAACATTCTTTGACTTTAAAAAAATATTTTCAGGTATTAATAAACAAATAGTAAGTTCCTTCCAACACATGCCATTCTATGATTCTATGAAATTTGCAATGCTTCTAAGAAGTGGCAGAATCATCAAAGGGGTAACGAAGACATTTAATTTCTCCCAGCATACATTATCTCTAAATTACAGCTATGCCACTTAATGTTGATTCGTCATTCTTTATATTATCACACAAATCGTTTTTGTGACTTGGTGGCTGCTGTTGCCATTTTAGAAGTATTAATTTGCATCAAACAAGAGCACAGGTCATGGAGAAGGAGCCAGCCATGGCAAGCAAGAAGATTGCACAGGCCAGCTCAGCCCCTGACCTTAGGGGGAGGCTGTGCACAAGTCACGGGGTGTCAGTGAGACAGTATTTGCCTGCAAAGAAGGAAGCCTGGCCCTGGTCACCAGCTGATGGGTGATGGCAGAGCTGACTCTCACGTGTGAGAGGCTGTGTGTGAGAGAGACAGATCTGGGGTGGACTACGGAAGGGCTTGAAAGTGAGGACAAACAGCTCTCATCTGATGTGACAGAGAGTAGGGAGCTAAGGGAGGAATGCAAAGATAGGCATGGCAGCGCCAGAGGACGAGCATATCCTTTTCAAAGACATGTCAAGTGATTATGTGCAGAACAGGGCTGCATTTATTAAGAGAAGGACAAGTGCTTTAGCAGTAAGCACAATTCAAAGTGGATAGGAGCCTTAGCTCCATGCATGGAGACAGAAGGGCTTAATGTCAGGAATTATTTGTAGAACAATGCTTGCTAGGTTTGGGTGTGATCTGAATAAGGACACAAGGAGCAGTCTGGACCAAAGCTGTCCCCTCTGTGCATATGTGAACATTGGCCTAAACAGCAGCTGAGGAGCCATGGGATGAGATGGGCTGGTTTAGCCAAGCTTGAGCTTCGAACGACAGCAAGGCTTATGTGAGCAGGCATCAAGGGAGCTGGGCAAGGATGTGTTTAGAAAAAAGGGTCTATGACTCATCTTGCCCAGTTTTAAGTGTCTATGGTACAGTCACCAGTCCATTCAGCTGGACTCCATTTTTACGTGGGGAAAGGAAACTGCTTTTTCCTGAGTTCCTGTCCTGACTGGCTTTAGATACCTCCTATAGGATTAGCTGTAATGGGAGCCTAGATGGCATTGTAGGTAGAGACATCTATGTTGTGCTCTTTTACTTTTGATTGGGTTGATCTCTCCTTTAGAGATTCATCTGAATAGAGCACTGGATTTTTAAGTTGCTTGGCATGTGAATTTATGTTTGTGATAGGGATTACATGGAGGTAAGGAATAGAAGAGAAAGAGGACAAGAACACAATTTTATACTACTCATTCTAAGGTCTGGAGAGTGAGATAAAGAGGAGTCTCCAAAAGACATGGTGGTCGAAGGAGGGAAGGGAAAGGGGAGGGTAGAGCTTCGAACGACAGAGAGAATAACCTCTCAGGGAGAGCTGACTTGTGGCAAGTGCCTGACAGTGATGGGAGATGAAGGAGAGAGCTGGAGCAGCCTGTTCCTGAAGGACTTTCCCTTGGAAAGGGACCCACGCTGGAGCAGTTCATGAAGCACTGCAGCCAATGGGAAGGATTCACATTGGAGAAGCTTGTGGAGGACTATTTCCTCTGGGAGAGAATCCACACTGGAGTGGGGGAGCAATGAAATGTCCTTCCCTTGAGGAGGAAGGAGCAGCAGAGACAATGTGATTAAGTGGCTGCAAGCCCCGTTCCTCATCCCTCTGTGCTGCAGAAAGGGGAGAAGGCAGAGAAAATCAGGACTGAAATTGAACCCAGGAAGATTGGAGGGGTGAGGGCAAGGTGCTTTAATATTTAGCTTTTATTTCTCATTGTCTCACTCTGATATAATTTTAAATAAATTAAACGTCTTTTCGCTGAATTGAGTCTGTTTTGCCCATGACAGTGACTGGTGAGTGATCTCTCCCTGTCCTTATCTCGACCCACGAGCTTTCATTGTATTTTCTCTCCCATGTGCAGCTGAGGAGGGGAATGATGGAGCAGTTGGTGGCTGGTAAACAGTAAGAGCATTAATAGGTGCATTTATTGAAATGATAAAGAGCCAGAGAATAGTGAGCAATTAACAAGGTAAAATGAGCGTAAGGCAATTAAGGAGATGAGAGAAAGTGGAACCAGCAACAAGAAAAGGAGCAGGATGACAAAACCAAAGAAGAGAACTCTGTGCCTGTGGCACCAGCAAAGACTGGGAGAGAGATAAGTGGAAATGGGTTTGAGATGAGGGGATTGCAAAGTCAAAGCACAGGAAGAAAGCAGTGAGATGTTGTGCAAATAGAGAAGGAAGCAGGAAGGAAAATGCATCGAAGAGGGAGGGTGCTGCAGCTGAAAATGTATGCAAAGTGTATGCAAATGAAAAGTGTTCAACTGAGCTGGAAAAATTAGGCTGCTTCTTGTACCAGATGTCATCAGGTTTCATGCAGTTAAGACTGTTGAAAACCTGATGAACAAGCTGTATTAGAAAGCTAATGTTCTTAATGTTATTTGGGCTAGGGTTAGGGTTAGGGTTATGGTTATTTGGGTTAGTGTTATTGCTATTTATGTTAGGGTTATGGTTAGTGCGTTATGGTTAGGGTTGGGTTTATTTGCGTTAGGGTTAGGGTTATTTGGGTTAGGGTTAGGGTTATTTGGGCTAGGGTTAGGGTTAGGGTTAGGGTTTGTATTAGGGTCAGAGTTAGTTCGGTTAGGGTTAGGGGTATGGTTATTTGGGTTAGTGTTAGGGCTATTCCTGTTAGGGTTATGGTTAGTTGCGTTATGGTTACGGTTGGGTTTATTTGCGGTAGGGTTACGGTTATTTGGGCTAGGGTTAGGGTTATTTGGGCTAGGGTTAGGGTTAGGTTTAGGGTTAGGGTTAGGGTTAGTGTTAGGGTTAGGATTAGTTCGGTTAGGGTTCGGGTTATGGTTATTTGGGTTAGTGTTAGGGCAATTCCTGTTAGGGTTATGGTTAGTTGCGTTATGGTTAAGGTTAGGGTTATTTGGATTTGGGTTAGGGTTAGGCTTATTTGGGCTATGGTTAGGGTTAGGGATATGGTTATTTGGGTTAGTGTTTGTGCTATTTATGTTAGGCTTATGGTTAGTTGCGTTATGGTTAGGGTTGGGTTTATTTGCGTTAGGGCTAGGGTTATTTAGGTTAGGGTTAGGGTTAGGATTATTTGGGCTAGGGTTAGGGTGAGGTTTATGGTTATTTGGGTTACTGTTAGGGCTATTCCTGTTATGGTTAAGTTAATTGCGTTATGGTTAAGGTTAGGGTTATTTGGATTTGGGTTAGGGTTCGGCTTATTTGGGCTATGGTTAGGGTTAGGGTTTATGGTTATTTGGGTTAGTGTATTTCTGTTAGGGTTATGGTTAGTTGCATTATGGTTAGGGTTATTTGGGTTAGGGTTAGGGTTATTTGGGCTAGGGTTAGGGTTAGGGTTAGGGTTAGGGTTATTTGGATTTGGGTTAGGGTTTGGGTTATTTGGGCTAGGGTTAGGGTTAGGGTTAGGGTTAAGTTCAGGGTTAGGGTTAGGGTTTTGTTAGGGTTAGAGTTAGTTCGGTTAGGCTTAGGGTTATGGTTATTTGGGTTAGTGTTAGGGCTATTCCTGTTAGGGTTAAGTTAATTGCGTTATGGTTAAGGTTAGGGTTATTTGGACTTGGGTTAGGGTTAGGCTTATTTGGGCTATGGTTAGGGTTAGGGATATGGTTATTTGGGTTAGTGTTTGTGCTATTTCTGTTAGGCTTATGGTTAGTTGCGATTTGGTTAGTGTTGGGTTTATTTGCTATAGGGCTAGGGTTATTTAGGTTAGGGTTTGGGTTAGGGTTATTTGGGCTAGGGTTAGGGTTAGGGTGAGGGTTAGGGTTAGGGTTAGGGTGAGGGTTAGGGTTTGTGTTAGGGTTAGAGTTAGTTCGGTTAGGTTTAGGGTTATGGTTATTTGGGTTAGAGTT